GACCAAGAGTCAATACGCTACATCTACATTTGTTTCTAGGAGGATCTTAACTTCTTGTTCTGCTTTGGGAAGCATTTTCTTTCTTTCTAATCCTAGTATGGAATTTGTTTTTTAAGAATTCCATTATTTTTTTTAAAGATAGGGACCCCTTTCCCTGCTCATTTGACGCTAGGAATTAGTTGTTATGCACTGAGTTAGCTGACCCTCCAGCGGATTTTCAGAGGCAGTAAATCACACAGCAGAAGACTGCCAGTCTTTTCTCCTTCAGAGCAGCTGCTGGACTAGAACTGCGTGCTTTTGGGTTGGCATCAAAACTCCTTACCACTAAGTCACCAAAGCTCCATCTAGAAATCAGAGGCGGGAGGGGGAAAAAAGCTACTTCAGTCCTGGGCAGGTTCACAGGCAAGACATTCAAGGGTACATTTGGCAACAAGTAGAGAATAAAGATGACTGACTCCATGGTGGAAGGCGAGAGTTGAGGAAAAAAAGATCTTCATGCAACTTAAAGGCAAAATGTGGAGGAGAAGCAAAACTCCCAAAAGGAAGGATTATGACTTTCCCTCTATCCTCATTAAAGGAAGTGCTGTCTGTGACTGAGCAATTTCTTAACAAAGTTTCTAAAACTTGGTAAGGTGACTTATTCAAGGACTTATCTATTTACTCTGAAGTGTTTAACTTGGTCCCTTCAGACACCCCAAGAGTCAGAAGTTGGGAAAATGTCTGTTTCTCAAAAACCAAACCAAACCAAAACAGACTCTCAGGATTAATAATCAGGAGCCTTAACTGTATTGCCTCTGCCCACTCTACTGAAAATTGCTCTTTTTAGAAATGAAAAACCCAAAGACATCCCTTCATCATTCTTAGCAGTGAAATAAAGGAACTCCTTTAGTCTTCCTATAGGGACTCATCTAGAAAACTAACATGGAATCAGACAAACCCAGGTCTCCAATCTGTACCAGAGCCTACACATCCTATACCCAATTATGACTCAAAATAGGAAAAATGAAAGCCTAAACAGCCTGTGAGAGAAGCAGACATGGGAAAATGCCTGTGCTAGGCATACAGACAACAGAAATGAAACTGTTAAAATCCTCAGTGGATTCCCCATTCAATTAAAAAGGATTCTAATATTTTTAAAAACCACATCCCATGTCAGCAGTAACTATTACAAGACTCTTGGACCACACCCACAATGGCTTATCTATCAAGTAATCAAAGAGGCTGTGCTTTTGGTTGCTTGGAAATTTCTATCTGGTCCACTGAACTACAAAGGTCTTGGAACCCTATTAAAGGCTGTGGATCTCCACATAAATTTTATCTCTGTTACAGAGAAAAAAAAAAGGGTGGGGCTGCTGCACTTCCCAAGATGTCTCTGGCTTGGTATCAGATGCTCCATATTTGGGTTCAGTCAGGCTTCCAGTGTGCCCAATGTTAATGCTTTAGTGAGAGGGGAAATGACGAGGTCCTGGGAATATATTAGACTTCTCAGATAAAGGAGTAAGCGTGCCTCAGCCGGGCTAAGGCTGGTCCCCTTTGTTAGCACCAATCTCTTAGTGATTTGGTTCTTCACAGAACTTAACTTGCCGCTTCTCTCAGAGAGGCGGACCTCGGGTAGGTGAAGTAATTCAAGGAGAAATTCCAGAGTCTGGCAGAGGAGCATCTGAAGCCAGTACAAGAATATGGTGCAATCAGATGAGCAGCAACTCTGGGGTAAGTCAGGATTCTTGAGTCCTGGTCCCGCCTCAAGGCTCCACCTGTACTCCAATCATGGGAACCACTTCTTCGATCCACAACAAGTTGAGGGGGGCTGAGGCACGAGCCAGTCGGTGGTGGATTCGGCGCAGCCGCAGAAGGTACAAGATGATGGCCAGCAGCACCACCAGGATGCAGGCAAAGAACAGATAGTGGTTGTAGACAAAGGAGAGCCGGAACCAGCTACCATGGACTTGTCGGAAACCCTCCTGCCGTAGATCCCTGGGGAGGTTTAACAAGGAAAGAAAGGTTAGTTTCAGAAAGAACCATTCACGCTAACTGGAATAATCCAGTGGTGGCGTTTATTTCACTGAGACAAGCTCTACACAGCAAGCAAAGCTGACCACGTCCCAGGCCCCAGGGTTGTCATGTGATTCCTTCTGTACCTCCCCCTCAGAGATCTACAGAGTCTCACAAGAATCTAGGGACAAAGTCAGAAAGTCTTTAAAAGCAAATAAAAGAATTAACTGAAACACTTGTTTATCTGTAACATAAACTTATTAAAATATCCTCTGTAAATATGGTTTCGATATATTGTATACACAGTTGTTATGAGCTGAAACCAAACAGGATGGCACCTAACAACAACAACAATTATAGTAAGAGTGAGAATACAGTGTTCCCTCCACCCAATTATATCAAAATCTTTCAAAACTTCTGGTGTTCCTTAGGGTTTAGATTATGTCTAAAGAAAGCTATTACCTCATCGGTTGTCCAGAAGAGAAGCCACTATTTGGTGGTCTAGAGTTCAGATCCATTTTTGTTTTGTTTGACTTGTAGTGGGTTTTTAGGATTGTTTGGTTTTATTTTTTGTTTTGAATGTGAATTTTCAAGTCAGTACATAATAATTGTTCCACGTAACTTACAGTACGTAAGGACAAGGCATCACCAGGCTATCAGTCTGATGAAAAGACACTATTACCTCAACAACAAAAATCTCGTGCCTTTGATTTTCAGAGTATTACATCCATAAGCCTTCCAGGTCAATGAAACATACTCTGAAGTGACGCTACCCGTTAGGAAAGAGTTCTCTACACAGAGAGCCTCTGGTGACCTACTGGCAAAAAGCTGTGCTGCAATCTAAAGTGCACAGTTCAAAATGCACCAGCCGCTCTGCAGAAGGATGGACAGTCTTTTCCTGTGCGATTAACTGCCTCTGAAAACCTGCTGAAGGGTCAGCTACGGGTCAGATGAGTCCGAGCCAACTCTACGGTAAACAACAACAACAACATACGGACAGCCTACCCTAGTTCTCTGGTGAGATATGATTTCCAAGATAAAGAAAGGACATTTTTAGTTTATCATTTAGAATCCTAGAGATAGTTGGTAAAAAGTCAATGTAAATATGGATATGTTGTGGCTGAACAAATAAAAGTTAATTTCTGGAACCGTAAACTAAGGAACAGACTGCAGAATAATACATCAGTAATAGTGGTTCTTACAGCAGTGATTAGGGACGTGTAGGCATGTGCACACATATGTGTGTGTTCTCTTGGAGTGGAGAGAGCAGGCACTTAAACCTGTGTTACAAGGTACTACCCAGCATCCTTGGGGCTTGCAACACCAGCTTGGTCAGCCTCAATTTACCTGAGTGGTAAGAACCGTGTTTTATACAGAATGGCCCCCAGTGTCCACTGAACCTCTCGATCATATACCAGCTGGGCTGTCTGTA